GAAATTTGAGAATGCCTTTTTAAGTGTGCACACAGTCCTATTAGATGTCTACCTGTAGCTGTGAATTGCATCAGATCTAGCCCTCGGTTTAATCCACTCCTGAATATTTTACACCCTTAAGTTCTTTCTGACTTGAACATTTAATGAGTATATAATGCCTTTATTATTCCAACTCCTTTATCTCTTGTTCTGTTCTTGATGAGGCTTTGTTCTTTCCGGCTGCTTGATCCTGACATCTTGGGTTTATAATATAATTAAGGATAAGGAAAATAAGGTAGAATTTATGAAGTTATCTATCCTGAAGTGTTTGAGGGTTACCAGATAACTGAATACATATTTGTAGTAATTGTTTTTAGCTAAAACTAATACAAAAGTAAAATTTTAAAATTAATTTTAATATTGCAAGTATAAATGTTTGCTATGAGCATATGCCAATTTCCAAATCTTGGGCTATTTGTTTTCTTGTTCTATAGATTATATATTGTGTTTAATTGTTAATGTATTGAAAAATACATGAACTAATTATTGCCCCCTGAGATGCAAATTTCAATGTGTGCAATCGCCCACAGTTAGGAATTTCAAGATATAATCTATTCACAATGAGCAACTCACAATCCTATTTACTTTTTATCCTTCACTAGTTTTCTTTTTAAATATTTTATGCCATGGGTACATACAGAAAGAATGTAGTTTATTACATAGAAAAAGCTAATCTGCTATGTTAAGATATTATTTTGCCAGGTATCTTTTGCAATTATATTTATCAATGTTCAAATCCCTTCTATAAATAATGAGTGTGGTACTGGGGAGAGATATTTGTAACATTTCAGAAATGTATTGTTACTTAAATATGCAGTATATCCAGGTATAAATTGTTAAACAATTTATTTAGACAGATTTTATCCTCTTTATTTAAATGTGAAATGGACACAATTTTTATTTGATGAGCTTTCAAATCTTGCTTTTTTTGGAATGGGTGTGTGAATATTTTGGTAAAATTTATTTCACGTGCAAAGTACATTCCCCATACTTCTAATAAGAAAATTGTCTCCTATTAAGTTTGCCAGATTTGAGCTAAAGAAGTGGTTCTCATGCAATAAACAAAAATGAAGCTATGTGGTCTAAGTGGCCTGTGACCCTTTAAAGATAACCTCTCAAAACTCTCTATTTAGGCTGTAAGTGTCAGGTTTAGTGATACTGTTGCCTTTTTTTAAAATAAATTCTAGTAATCTTGATTCAGATTCAACTGCCATAAATGATACCCATGTTTTCCCTGAAGTTGATATCACTTTTAATGCTGAGGAAAATAAGAAATGCACTTTCCTTATCTCATGTTTCCTTTAGGCAAGTGAGGAGCCTGGCCTAACATTTTCCACAGGTGAGATAACTTGGAACGCTCAGTAAAGAGAAAGATATTCACTTTAAAAATAATAATGTCTAGATCTCCCAGTCAAGATGGAGGCATAAGTAGACATGCTTTGTCTCCTTTTGCAACCACAGACAGAATTACAACTAAACCTTAAAACAAGTAACACCCAGAACTGTCAGAAAATCAAACTGTATGGAAGTCTGACAGCCAAGGATTTAAAGAAGCCACATTCACTCAGATGAGTAGAAGGGACAGAGACACAGAGATGGGTGGAGAGGCAAGGAGATACACGGTGGCACAGAGAGGTGGCGACAGCAGTGGAACAGGTGGTCCCACATTCAGTGTGGTGGGTAAAAATTGGGAGGGGGTACCTTGGGAGTGGGTGATCCCACCCCAGGCCAGGCTGCACAGCCCAAAATTCCAGCTCTGGAAAGTTAGATCCTCATAACTTCTGGCTATAAAAATCAGTGGGGTTTGGGACAGTGGAAGAAACTACTGGATTTTTCAGGATACTCTGCTTCAAGGGCCTGCAGAGTCTTAGGACGGATGCAAACCCACCTACTCTGGGATTCAGCACCAGGGCAACAGCTGGAAGTGTGCCGGTTGCATAGCAGGAATGGGTGAAGTGACTGAAAACAGGGAGAGTACTAGGTAAACTTCCAAAAGCCAGGCAGTGACACTGTCCCCTTTCCAAGTCCTTACCCCATAAAGAGCCATAAAGCAGTGAAGCAGGTTGGCCCTGTCCAGGCAATTGCCTAAGGCCCCATCCCACAAAGTTCACGGGTGCCTTTTCTACAACAGGCGATGCTACTAAGACAGAGAATCAAAGCACCCTAATACACAGAAACAAATACAGGGAGGAAACAATAGAATATGGCCCAAATGAAAGAATGGAACAAAGCCCCAGAAAAAGAACTAAACAATGGAGAAAACCAACCTATCAGGTGCAGAGTTTATAACACTGTTGATCAAGATCCTCAAAGAGCTCAGTGAGTACAGCAACAACATAGAGGAAAAAAAGGTTATGGCAAGTGAAATAAAGAAAAATCTCCAGGAAACAAACAGTGAAGGGCCTCCCTGAAGCTGGGACTCAAATCAATGATTTGGAACATAAGGAAAAAATAAGCATTCAAACATTACAGAAAGAAGAAACAAGAATTCAAAAAAATGAGGATAGTATAAGAAGCCTCTGGAATATCACCAAACATATCAACATCTGAATCATAGGGATGCCAGAAGGAGAAGAGGAAGAGCAAGAAATTGGAAAACTTATTTGAAAAAATAATGAAAGAAAACTTTCTTAATTTGGTGAAGGAAATAGACATACCATGCAGGAAGCACAAAGAATCCCAAAAAACTGGACCCAAAGAGGACCCACGAAGGCACATCATAATTAAATTGATGTTACAGAAAATACCCCCGGCCTCTGGGGGGGTCTTCTGTTATTCTACATTCTTTTTGCCTGTTGCTAGTAGGAATTGTGGCTCTCAATGCCAGAGTTTGGTAAAAAGTATGGGAACTATTTAATTAAAAGTTATATAGGGTTAGAGTAATGGTAGAATATCTCCATTAAATCTCAAAGTCCCTTTAAAACACTCACTCACTCACTCACTCACTCACTGCTGCCTCTTTTTGCCAATCCAGGCCAGTCAGTAGGTACCATATTTCAGGAAAAGAAAATAGAAGTCCGTAGCTCACCTAGGCTCCCATTGGTAATCCAAAACTGCATCCTCATGGCAGACTGGGGAATCCTTCTGCATCCTTTGTAACTACCAGGCCAGGAGACAGAGCTTTACATAGCTGCTACATCTTGCTTTCTTGCTTTCTAGGCCCTGTGGTCAAAAGAGACCCCTCCCCACTCCCAAAGCTGTGTGGTTAAGCCCTAGCATTGCTGCCGCACTTGGTTTTAAATCCTGGCGTGAATCTTCTTCCATAACCCAATTTCTGACTCCTCCCACACTGAGTTATACCTGCTGGTAGTCTGGTTTCTTCTGCCTTTCTCAGCTAACATTGTTAGTAAGGGCAAGTGTGGGTCCTTGGCATGGAGTGAATCATCTCCAAGTTCTCACACAGGTGCTGAAACTGTGGGGAGCTGCCTCTCAGCTACATCACGGGTCCAAGTGATGCCCATCTCCCTGGCCCAAGCAGACTATGAAGCTAGCTTGATGTTATTGATATGTAAAATAACTCTCAATCCCTGTGCTGCTGCTTTTCCCAGATCCCAAGCTCGACTTGTGGAGGCCCCTGGGATATCTCAGGCTATGCTCTACTCTGAACTGCATTCCATACCCATTACAATGACAAAGGTTAAAAATAAAGAGATAATCTTTTTTCTAAGATTTTTTTATTTAGTTATCTTTAGAGGAGAAGGGAGAGAAATATCAACGTATGGTTGCCTCTCGTGCATCCCCTGCCGGGAACTGGCCTGCAACCCAGGCACATGCCTGACTGGGAATTGAACCTCAATTCTTTGGTTTGCAGGCCTGTGTTCAATAAAGAGAGAATCTTAAAAGCAGAAAGAGAAAAGCAGAGAGTTGCCTACAAAGGAGTTCCCCTAAGGCTATCAGCTGATTTCTCAAAAGAAACTGTAGGCTATAAGGGGCTGGAAAGAAGTATTCAAAGTGATAAAAAGCAAGGACCTAGAACCTAGATTGTGGTATCGAGCAAAGCTATTATTTAGAATGGGAGGGCAGATAAAGTGCTTCCCAGACAAGATAAAGCTACAGGAGTTCATCACCAAGCCATTGTTACATGAAATGTTAAAGGGGCTTATTTAAGAAAAAGAAGATCAACCCTGGCTGGTGTGATTTAGTGGATTAGTGCCAGTCTACAAACCAAAGGGTTTCTGATTTGATTCCCAGTCACAGCACATGCCAGGGTTGTGGGCCAAGTCCCCAGTAGGGGGCATTGGAGAGGCAACACAACATTGATGTTTCCCTTTCATTCTCTTTTCCTCTTCCTCTGTCTAGAAATAAATAAATAAAATCTAAAAAAATATATAAAAACTAGGAACATTAAAATAAATGGTAACAAATTCACAACTATCAAGAATTGAATCTAAAAACAAACAAACAAACAAACAAAACAAAACTAAGCAAACAACTAGAACAGGAGGAGAATCATAGATATGGAAATTATTTGGAGGGCTATCAGCTAGGAGGGGGATGGGGGAGATTGGGGAAAAAGAGGTAAGGATTAAGAAGGATAATTGGTAGGTACAAAAGAGACAGGGGGAGTTTAAGAATAGTATAGGAAATGGAGAAGCCAAAGAATTTATATACACGACACTTGGACATGAACTAAGTTAGTGGGGGTAATTGCTGGAATGAAGGAGGTACCTGATGGAGGGGGGGGAAAGTGGGAAAATTGTGACAACTGTAATAATATATAATCAATAAATTATATTTTTAAAAATAAGTAAAACAAAATATAAATAAAAATAATAATATCTAAATCTTTATGTAAGCATATTAAATCACACTAAACCTGAAACATATATCAGAGTTTTACCAGCTACTCAATTTGTAGTTTTAGACAGCCTACAATGTTGAATAATAAGCTATTGTGATATAAATGAAATAGCTCTTATCTCCCTTCTGTGCTCTAATTCATGGGATTTTGTTGCTCCTAGATATCCGTGGAATACAGGAGTTTTTGGACAAAGTGTCTCAGCAGGGGATGGATGTTGCACTTCAAAAGGTAGAAAACAACATCAATAAAATGATCACCACTCTCTTTGATACCATGAGAATAGAGGAATTGAATCGCTATCGAGACACTCTTAGGCGAGCCATCCTTGTTATGAATCCCGCCACAGCCAAATCCTTCATTACTGAGGTAAGGAAAATTGTCAAGGGGTGGGGTTAGAGTGTGAAGTTAAATGTGTTGGAATAGAGCCTGCACAGGTATTGAAAATTAAGAGCAGTGAGAGGGAATTAGGTACACAACTCTCATTAACACTAGTGGAGGTAGCAGCACCGTGAACTCCTGGCTCATCGCATGTACCCTGCACTGTCCACTTAATTGCTGAAAACGACTGAATGATTGCATTTATATGTGTACTCAGGATGATATTTAAAAAGCTTATAATGGTTTACAAGTGCTGTTGACCTGAATGATTCTAACAAGCTCAAGAATGAATTCAAAAGTGCAAAATTCTCTAGCTAATCCTTAAATATTTTTGCAGGTTAAAATTCTACTTCTGAGAAAAGATTTATTTGAATCAGGCTATTGCTGCCTGAACATGATTATTTTTACAAAAATGTATAGCAAATTTACTTCTGCTCCGTGAACTCTGTACCAAGACAAATGATTGAAACTCTCTGAAACTCTGCAAAGTGATGACCACTATACATTTTATGGTACTACGGCCTCAAAATTTTAATTGTATTTCTTTATGTGGCTAGAAGCTTCAAAACTTTGTCAAAATACAATTAAGACATTTTAATGATTTCTGTAACATCTCTGTGTTCTATAATGCTTGCTATTGCCTTGCAAAGTATTACTGTCAGGTCATTTTGTCTTACGGCTTAATAGTGATAGAACTGGTCATGACATTGCACACTTTCACATGGGTCTTATTATTAGTGTTTTAAATTTTGGTGGCTTTGAGTAATACTTTTTTCTCACTTCCATATTATGCTTTCTTTAGCTCCTAAAGTACTGCTCTAAGGCCTCCAAATTAAGAATGTGTTAGAAGTTCTGTAACACTCTATAATATAATTGGTGTCAAGGAACTGAAGCAGAATATAAATCACTAATAGAATAAAACTTTTGGGAAAATACCAATACTACCATTTTTGTTCTAATAGAGAACTTTGTTATGCAGTTTAAGAACAAATACAGAACTTCGATCCTTTTCTAGTTTAGGAAATTAAACAACCGGATTTTTCTACAATTGAAAGAATATTTTCTATATTACAGGAGTTGATTCTTTCCTTTAAGAAACACAAAATATACTAGAAGGCTGAACGGAAATGCACAAAGACATGCACTATAAATTGGAATCTTATAACTATTAATAAATCAGGTTGAAGCATCTGGGAAGGCTTCATTAAGAAGGCACCTTTGAACTGGCCTTCGTGTCCTAGGTAGGAATTCACAAAAAAGATGTGGCATATAACAGATAAATACAAGTTTATCTCAGCCTTTTTATGGGCATGTTGTTTTGGCAAATTAGTTAACATTTCTGAGTCTTGATTTTATCATCAGTAAAATGGGAATAATACATTGATTTCAACGTACTAAATTTGTAATGTAGATGAATGAAATATCCTGAGATATGCCTTAAAAAAGAGGGGGTGTAGAGACTTTTACCATGGCAAGGAGGCAAATATAGAGGTGAAGCAATATATGAGGAAGAGCTGGTCTGGAGATAAGGTGAAGAGGTCTATGTTGGACAGGTTGAGTATGTTATTTAATCCTTGGAGCTTTTATGCTCAAGTTAATAGATAGGCAGTAAGCAGTTGCATACATTATTCAAATACTGAAGAAAGCTGAGAGCCTAAACAGAAACATACAGTAAAGCACTACAATGTGTGAAGAAAGAATAGGTCAAGTAAGGGGAAGCACAATACGGAAGAACAAGCACAGGCAGGGAAATAAGATGTAGCAAAGGAAACCGGGAAAAACTTAAGCTTGTAGGGTAAAAGTAAGACAGATTTAAAAAACTACAAAAGTACAAAAGTTTTTACAAAAGCAAAGGGAAAAATAATAACAACTTGATATTGCTGACAAATCATCCAGTAAAATAAGGGTTGAAGCATATTAGATTGAAAAGCCCAGAAGTGTAGTCATTTAGCAATAACACATTTATCTGTGAATTAAAAGACAGATTTCTGTGTGGTGAATATGTGGTGAGAAGAAAAATAAAATGAATATTATGGTGAAAAGAAAAATAAGATGAATAGGCCAAAAAGTTGGAGTGAAAAGTGCTAGAAAGAGGTAGTATCACAGAAAAGTCTTAGATAAAAGATTTTTTGGCACAGAGATGCCTTTAAAACCTTGAACATGGGAGATATTTCTGAAGGTGAACTTACAAAGGATAAAGGAGTAAGGGCTATAAATGAAATTTCAGGGAAGCTCTACTAATTTTGCAAAGTGTAAAAAAATATACAGGCAAGGGACAAAAGATAGTCTCAAAGGTAGGGAGATAACCCACATAGTGGTATGTTATGCATCCTAAGTGTGTAGAAGAAAGGATAGCTATTAGAGTTAAACATTTTGGGATGGGACTTTTAAAAAGGTATTCATATTGAGGAACCAAAAATTTCTTAAGAATGGCAGAGACTAGAGAAAGATTGCAAAGGGTCATGGAGAGAATCAATGGAAGTTGGGTATGTTGACTACTCAAGGAATTTGGTGATGAAAGTAAAAATGAATGGATAATTTTTTTTAATGTTAATGGATATCAGAAACAGAAAAATCAGTTTTGTTTCTTGGGGGGGGGGAACTGAAGCTCTTTTACACAGGGTCTAAGAAAGCAACCAGTGACATTGAAGATCAGAGGATAATTGATGAGACCAGATCCCAGAGTATTAGCCCTCATGAAGCTCTTAGGGAAGGGCTGCCCATGGCCAGTAAAGAAATTGCTGTTTCAAGTAGATAAAAAAAAGTCCAGACTTTTTCAAAGGAATTTTATTTGGCCATCTTTATATTATTGATAATCAATTAACCAATATAATCTTGACTTGCATTGTGGCCATGGCCCCTTTCCCTAACTGGACTTTGATACTTGTAATAGTCTACTTGTATCATTGTTCTCGTACACATGAAATCAATGTGATTTTCCTGAGAGACCTCTCTCTTCCTCTACCCAGCCACCTTTTTTCTTCCTACTCAGTTGCCTTTCGCAATCCCTGATTTTATGTATTCAAACTGTGGATTTAATTTATTTCATGGACTCAAGCAGTGAAGTAGGAATGACAGAAAGAATGTGAACCCACCACCTTCCCCATGCTAAGCCAGCTGGCTACACTGTTCTCTGACATGTATAGCTATTCCTGTTTCTCAGTTAGCTGATCTCAGACCCCTCCCATTGCCTTCTAGAAGCATTTCTGCACTTAGGGAATAGGCTGACCTCGAGCACTAAAAGTAATTCATTTAAAGACCAAGTAGCATGGAATTCAAAAGGCAGGCATCATCAAAAGTCTGGAGACACAAAGAATAATTCCTGACTTAAAACATCACAGTCTAGTAGAGGAGACAGGCATATAGCGAAATAATGAAATGTGAAATAAAAATGCTGTAATACTAATGGGTAAATGGTACTCTAAAATCCCATAGAACTGACTAACTCAGCAGGGAACTTGGCCAGAGTCGGGATGTTTCAAAGAGAATTTGCCTCACCCAGAATTTTGCATAATGAGTAAGAATTCATTAGGCAGACAGTTTGGGCGGGGGAGGGAGAGGAAAAGAGAAAGAAAGAAACAGTTTAAAAACCAAATACAACTGAGGGTTTTATAACAAAAAAATGGGAGTTCCATGGCTCACCTCTTTTCACCTCAGTTATTCTTTTCAGAAAAATTACTTATTTTTAATTTTTAAAATTTAATTTGTATTCACTTTTTTTAAAGTTTTTTAAAATTATTTTTCAAATACAGTTTTCTGTCTATTTCTCCCATCCCAGCCCACCCCGCCCCGTGCTCCCCACCTCCCTCCCATTTCCACCCCCCTTAGTTATTGTCCCTGTGTCCTTTATACTTGTTCCTCTAAATCCCTCCCATTTTTCCCCTTAAATTCCCTCCTCTCTCCCCTCTGGTCACTCACTGTCCCCCTATTCTTTATTTCAGTGTCTTTTGTTTTTATTCTGCTTGCTTGTTTGTTTTGTTGTTTAGCTTCCTGTTAAAGGTGAGATCATATGGTATTTGTCTTTCAACACTTTTGAAATTACTCTATATATTCACATGGTTTCAATATAAAAGGTTCTTCTTTCTCAATTGCAATTTACATTCAATATTACTTTGTATTAGTTTCAGGTGTACAACAAGGTGTTTGGACAATCAAACGCTTTACAAAGTGATCCCTCTAATGCTTTAAATACCCACGTGGCACCATCCATAGTCATTACAATATTATTGACTGTATTCTCTATGCTGTACTTTGCATCCCTATGATTATGTTTCATGAATATTTAAAAAATTAAAGGTTCTAAAGGATAACCTCCTGCCAGTATTCCTCAAGCACCTGATTTTCCTATCAGGAGTTAAATAATGTGTCTTGTATGGTATCCCCATGTACACATACACACACATGCATAAACACACACACAGCCTTTACTCTTTCTTACACAAATAGTGATGTATGAGGTACAAGCTCTGTGCCTGGATTTTTGTTACTTAGTAACATCTAGAAGCATATTTCATTGATATATAGGAAATGTTCTTTATCATTTTGATAGCTATATAGTATTTCGTTAATAGATGGAATTGCTCTTAGCTCTTGCATTTTTGTCCTATTTTTACTTATTCTGATCAATATTATTAGTTGACTTATTATTTTATCTCCCACTGAATTCCTTTCTGATATGATAAAAATGAAGATTTAGTTCATTTGCTTCACCAATACTCACAACTCCTCTCAATGTAACATGATTTTAAATAATTTTAAATAACACAGCTGCACCTTCACACCTGTGCTGTCTACTATAGAGAGGACAGTGTCCACAACAGCTGTCACTCCTCTACCTGGCGACTTCCACAGTCCACAGTTTTGCTTGCATACTGAGAATGTTAGAGCATATGTTTTCTAATCTGTAGGCATAAAAGTTGGAATTCCATAAATGTGTTTGTTTTAAACACTATAAATGTTTTTTTCTGCCCCGTGAAGTATTGATATGA